GGAGGGGAGGGGAGGGGAGGGGAGGGGAGAAAGAAAAGAAGGAAACTTTGAACTGGGAGGAGGAATCTTCAGTTCCCAGACTGACCTCTGTATGAACAGCTTGAGTGAATTCAACAACAGAAACAATGACTTAAAATAACTTTATTTTTTTTTTTTAGACAGAGTCTCAACTGTCATCCCGGGTAAAGAGCTGTGACATCATAGCTCACAGCAACTTCAAACTGTTGGGCTCAAATGATCCTCTTTCCTCAGCCTCTTGAGTAGCTTTGAGTTAAGGCTTGGCCACAACATCCAGCTATTTTTAGAGACAAGTCTCACTCACTATTACTCAGGCTGATCTCCAGCTCCTGAGCTCAGGCCATCCACCGGCCTTGGCCTCCCAGAGTTCTGGGATTACAGTTGTGAACCACCACACCCAGCCTGACTTAAAATAACATTAATAGTATCATCTCTAAATCACTTACTATTGTGCATAACAACTACTGACCCTCAATAAAATCACCTTTTTTCCTTTTCCTATTATTCTTTCTCTTCACTTTCCTTTTTTTTTCCTCTTTACCTTTCTACTCTCTCTTTTAAAAATAGTAATTTTATTTAAATGATTTTTTAAGCTGTTATTGACCTAAAACTTTTGCGGCCTGGATTTTATATTAAATCGATTCAGCCTTTTATTGTGTTGTTTTAGTTTGTTTATTTTATTTATTTTAGTTTCTTTGATTTACCATATGCAAAAGTGGGAACAGTTATATTTGGAAAATATAGGATAATTCTATATTGAAAAACAGAAGACTAAATAATAGTGTTTTAAGTAGGATAAAGTATTTAAATAGAGTATTTTTAAAAACATTATTGTCAGCAATATGTTGCTAGTATCTACTTCCCAAATCTACGTTGGGATGACTTTATATTTTAGATTTTAAGGAAATGTAAAGAAACTTATAGTCTGAATTTGGGTTGACAATTGATGAAAGGTCAGTACTGAGAGACCTTTCTTCTTAACTGCCAAATACCCTTTTTTTGGTTTCTTTTTCTGACTTTATTTTTCTTTTAAAAATGGAGTGTGCATCTGTCCTGCTATGCTTGAGGTGGTGATAAAAACATATAACAGAATGGACAGGTTTTGCTGGTATTGTAACTATAAACAAACACCAGGTTCTTGGCACTTCCCTTTCTCCCTGTACCCTTTCTTGCCCCAGGAACTCTGATATATTCACTCTGCCCTTATTTTAGACTCCTGATATTTCTCTCTTTTCCTTTTATCCTCTGCATCTGAAGGCAAAGTATATTTTTGCATAAAATGGTTTTTGCAAACATATTTACATTAAACATTTTAACTTTTGAATCAGTAATATGCTGATGGGAGGTTTTCTATATATGATTGTTTTATTTTTATGACGCTTAGTACAGGTTCAGTTCCTTTTCTTCATTTCCCTGTTTGTATTTTTTTTTTCCTCAGGATGTTTGATGTGCTACGTTTTCCATTATTTTTTGCAAAATGCTTTCTGAACTAGTGTGTTGTGAATTTCAAGTAATTCATTTTTACTTTTATGCTCGGAATTGACATTGACTGCTATTATTCAGATAAGGAAAAAAGATAAAAGAGTGACGAAAGGAACTCCACCATAGAAGTTCCTGCCAAGTGAATACTTATTCCAGCATGTAAAAGATTTGCTCAGCAAATATTATGCTTTTCACTTAAGAAACCTATGTTAAATAGGATAAGATGCTACTTTTCATTTTTTAAAATGAAGGGGTAAATTGTGTGTGTAGGCATATGCATAATCTTTCAAAAATTTCCATTTGGGGTACAAATATTCACAAAATTGATTCCCCTGTTTCTTTACTGACTCCCTGTAGGCAGACCAAAGCGTGTGTGCTTTATTTTTTGTTCACAACATCTCTTGAAAAATGCATGCATGCTGCCAGCTAACCGAGCAATACACACGTAGAGGGAGAGAAGACCAATCA